CAGTTCAGTTCTATGTCCTTCTTATGTCAGGGGCACTAGAACTGTATGCAGTACTCCAGATGGGGTCTCACAAGAGCAGAGGGGGGACCTCCTTTGACCTGATGCCCATACTCTTTTTGGTGCAGCCCAAGGACACAGTTGGCTTTCTGGGCTGCGAGCGCACACTGCTGGCTTATGGTGAGGTTTTCATCAAGCATCACCCCCAAGTCTTTCTCTGCAGGGCTGCTCTCAATCACTTCTCCACCCAAGTACTTCCATTAGCAACCAAAAGTATTTTTCCTAATCCCTTTATTTGAATAATAGAGATCTTAAACTCCCCCAAAAGCATAACAAAATAATAAATGGTATTTCTCAAGAGCCTATTTAGCTGCTCAAAGAGGTGGTAAGGTGTAAAGCCCAATTTAATGAGAGCTAGCAAATATATATGGATATTAAATCATAAAGCAAGGTTAATATCTGACTCAATCCCATGGTCTACTAAAAAGGGTTGGAAAGCTGCCAGTGGACAAAGCACAATAGACTTGTTTCTGTTGCATCCGTCATTATCTACATGGTAAATGGATTTAGGGAGAAAGCCTACACCTACTACCTCTAAGCTCCAAACATTAATGAAAGGACTTCTATTAGCTGTCACTTGCGAATAATTCAGCCAGAGGAAAAACATTGTGACTTCATCCTCAACCAAGCTTTAAAACAGAAGTGTGCTTATTGTATCCTTCCGTGGTCTTGTCACCCAAAGCTAATACAGATTAATAATCTTTGATCAATCACCTTCACTTACCAATTAAGTTTTTAAACCCCAAGACAGTATGCCTGCTTTGCTCTTGTGAACAAAAAAGACTGATATCATTCGCACCCCAAGCATATAACCCATGAATTAACAGCTTCAAATTACCTTGATCTAATGTGTCTTCCATTTCCTGGAATCGCACTCTTCTCTTTGTTTGCCTTTGCTGGGCTTGAGCAATTGCTTTTCTGTCCCTGTCATCTCTCTTCTTTAGTATAGACACCAATCCTTCCGCTGGGGCAATCTATCAGGAAAGTCAGTGAATGGCACAAGAGATGTGAGAAATCAAAGCATGAGATCTATTTAACACTGACTTAGGGAGAGAATGACCTATACAGGTAATAAATGGTTTTCACTCTACTTCTCTCAAACACTGCAGCACTTGTGAAACCTCGGTCTTGAAGACAAATTCCTTAACACACAGGACAGCTGCAGTATCATTATGCTGTTTACTGACACTGCTTGACCTTAATAGTTATCAAAGTTAAATACGCACACATTTTTGAACACACTGTTTAGATCATACTTTGTGTTCACTGCAGCAGTTCCTTTGCAAGCTCACACAGGTTGGGACAGTGGTGAGAAGGATTTGTGTCAAAAACACTATCATCAGAGGGCAATAAGAAGTCAATGACACACTGCTGCTGCCTCTCCAAAGATATAGTACTCCAGAGACCATCAAATGCTTATTGTGAGATTAATTTTCCAGCACTGCAATTGGCTCCCCAGGGTGGTGGACAAGCAGCTACAGCCAGGCTACAAAACCAGAGAGAGATAACACCAGGGAAAAAGAAAGCTTCAATGTTCTGGATAGATTCCAGCTCCACATTGTAATAAGCTCTCTGGATACAGCAGCAGTTCAAAAATCCTTCCCTACAGGCTGGTCAACCAAATGGCTTGCACAAACAGTGATACAGTCAACAAGTCAATAAACCGAAACTTCTCCTTTCTTTGCCGTAGCATTTGGATTAGTTGCAAGAGTATATGCAAGAAGCCATACAGGGATATCACACCAGCCTGAGCAGTCTGTAACTTCCAGTTATTAGAGAAAAGAAAGTAGGTGAAGTATCAGCAGAAAAATGCTTTCCTAAGCAAGCAGTTCCTGGTGTGCTAGAAATAAACAGAAATTAAAATAGGAAGTGTGTTTAGACATGCCCTTTTTTATCTTGTGAGCATCTTTCCCTCAAAAAAAGTCTCAAGGATTTCTTCCTAAATCTTAGGAGTACTTTCTAAAACATTCTGTAGATCAGCAGTAACATTTGTTAAATTGAAGAGTAATACATACAGATTCATGCTACAGATGAAACACATCACATTTACAACTGAGTTTGCAACTCATCTATTAGATGACCCCAAATGCCTGTAATTTTCACAAAAGGTCAAAAAAAGCAACTTTCCAAGTAACACTGCAGTTGCAGACAACTGACTGTTTAACTTTCCCCATAATATAATTAGAAGATCACCCATAAAAACTCTTTCAAATTGCCGTTTCAAGAGCTGTAGAAAACCAGAAAACAAGTGACTTCATAACTTACGCCCTTAAACTTGCTTCATGCTACCAGCTTACATAATGCATCGATGCACGCTGTAGTCACAGACATGGTGCACTGAGCACAGCACAGAGCACAATCCAATAGGCACTGGATCAACTTTGGCTTTGTAACATTTTAACTGGTAAATGGCAATTACACTTGTAGGTCCTTGGCAGTATTTTACAGCCCTCAAATGGACAAATAATGTTACCCTGAACAACTCAGAGAGCTGGACACTGTGGATGTATGCTTACAGTCTAATAATTTTTCCCAAAATCACAAATGAGAGGATAAAACTGATCTCTGCCACACTATCACTTTTGATACTCACTTTCCCTTTTGATTATCTGCTCAAGAGCTTGAATCAATTATTTAATGAAACAATGAAGCACTTGGAAGGTAGTGTGGAGTGTGGGAGTGATGGAAATAAATTGTTTAAGTCAACATACAGAGACCACTATTTGGCACGAATGAACCACAAATAATAGTTTACAAGTGTCTCATCACAACAGATGAGTGAACTGAAATGAAGCTTCTACTGGTAATGTTAAATTAGCCTTGCAGAACTGCCATGAAAATTTATCAGGCCAGAAGGAAAATCAACACTTATGCTTCCTTTGTGTGACAAGGAAGGGTGATCATGCAGGAGTGCTTTAATTTGACTCATTTATTTGGGAGGGTGGAGATAAAATTATGTCCTTTAGAAGAGCAGATTATTTTAAGCTTCCATGTACAGCACTGCTTCCATGAAGAGGATCAATGGCTCCTCCCACAGCAGGCTAGCTGTCTCCTGGCACGCTCCTTCGCAAGTGGCTCGGACTGCACTAGGTGAGAATGCCACCCAGGACCAGCAGGGCATTCATACCAAGCTGCCCTGAGATTAGGTGTGTGGTCTGTTCTGCAGGTCATCATTTCAAACTGAGACCCTTCATTTTGTCTGTTGGCTCCTGGTAGTTTTTTAATGACCGTGTCATGAACTCCTTCTCCAAGCTTAAAACCAGAGGGTTATCCTTGATAGGATTATGTGGAAATGTGTTTCAGTGATTACAGTTACATAAAAAGCCTGTGGAGGAAAGTCTTGCTACAATGAGGTTTATTTACTTTCCCTGTCAGTCTACATGGGTATGTTTCAGGATTTATGTTAAATGTATAAAGAACTAATTGACACAGAATAGGTTTCTCTATTCTGAACATCTTTTGCTTAAAAAGGGGGAGCAAGTGCTTTTGATTTTGCAATAAAATCAGTATACCTAGTAGTACTTTGCTGTCTCAACAAAAGCCACAGACTGTATCTTGAAAAATGCCCCCATTACGTGATATGTAATTCATACCTAGACCACTTCATCTGCCTTTCAGTTTCACAAGTTATGTAATCAAGGTTTTCTTGTTTTGTTCTGCAATATGCAAAGTGATTATATTAGCTCCATCTCCCATTAATTAAACACCCAAGGAGAATGAGGCAGCTGCCACACAAGACTTCAAATTTTCCATCTCAGTCTTTAGGAGCCAGGAGGAATTTAAAAAGGTGGAATACATTATTTAAATTGGAAGTTAACGAGGGAACTGTGGCTAATACAGCTGACCACAACTCAAGCCTCTGCTTGACTTGAACCACAAGAGGAAAAATGTCAGCTTGCACCAAACTGCACTGCAAACAGCTCAGTGTTGCATAAAGGACTCTTTGAAACACCAAGTATTTTCTTAATCCTAAGCTAGATAATTAACAAAAGATGGTCTTGGAGTGTCTATGTAACTGAGCTTACTCACTCAGCTTTGCTGGCATTCATAAAATCTTCTGACTGGAGCTTTTATAATTACTATACAGGAACTGAAAATATGGTGGCATTTTGACCAACAGTCAAAAAGGAAAGCGGGAATGACCTTTGGTTCACTGAAACTCTGTTAAATATTTTAGCTTTTCTTTTTTCACCACCGTTAACAGAAAGTGATTCTGCTTCAATGGAAAGTTTTAAACTTTCTGGACAAAGTTTAACAACCAAGCTGCAATGTCAGCAAAAATAAGCTCTAATTAAACTACCTGTCCCTTCACTGTTTAAAACAGGATTTGCTAATAAAATATTAAAAATCTTCTTACATTATGCATATTTTCACCAAATATGATGTGCATATATCTTTGTAAACATACTGGACAAAACTATGAAAATAAGGTGTCGTACTTCAGTCTCTCAGAGAAAGCAGATTAAACTTGACTATTAGAATCATTCATAGCATACAGACATAAATAAAACCCCCAAATGAAGGCACTTCAAACTGAGAACTAGGAAGAAAAGTTCCTTGTATGAAGTATTTTGGTCTGAATGCAGAGAACCACTCAAGGAGAAGTTTTCTTTTTGTATTCTTCTGTGGGCTGTATTTCTTATTCAGTTCCTTGGCAAAGGGGTATAATTTTATTTCTAGCAACATGAGATTTTTTTTTAAAGTGGTAATCCATAACTGTACAACAAACCAAGAAAAAGCAAGATTGCCCTGAGTTAAGCTAGAAGCAGCAGACAAACCCTTTTGCTAATAGAATACATTAGATACATGAAGAATATGAGTTTGAAAAGGAGCTAACTTAGCAGTTATTCAGTATTCAGACCACAGCATCAGACTCTAACCATTTTGTCTGCTGACAAAAGTCCTGGGGCTCATTTATACAGCAATAAACAGCTCAGATACCATGCAAGCATTTCATAAGGAAGAACAGCCCTTGCAAACTCAAAATTACAGGACCCAAGTCATACAAGAGAATAGGGGATCCCAACAAGACACTGTCTTCAAATCTAGTACAGATAGGTGGAGACTTCATCTCTTGGTGTACAAACACTGCCAACCAAAAGCTACTACCTTATGTTGTGGTAGAGAGACTCACTCTCTTTTCTTTCTGAAAAAATCTTTTCAAATTATAATTTTCTAATACAAGAAAAAAATTAATATTTTCATTGTTTCCCTGATCGTCACTCAGATAACAAGTTTATGTTAAAAACTTTTATTTCATATGGCAAAATGCAATTTACATCACTGAGGTTACAATTTGTTTCACCACTGCTGTGTCATTTCTTTCTCACAGAAATGATAGCAAAGCTCTCTAAGAAGAGTTTGAACACTTCAGACATCTGTTGCTGCCAAATGCTGACTGTGCTTCAACGCTCTTTGTTAGCTGTATGAATCTTGTTTCTATAAAGTGACAGTGATTTTCCATCATTTGCATGTTGTCATACATGGTTTGTACTACTGGAGAAATACCCAGTAGGACTGTGCAATAGGAAAAGTAGTATTTCAGTTTTGAAGAGTAGAATTCGGTGGACTTTCACTCTTGCAATTACTTATTGCAAAGGATACACTAAAAGCAAGTGACAAAGTAACTAAATTAGAAAAATGCACGAGATGATTTTTGGATCTTAATATTGGGTCAAACAAAACTTTCTAACTGTAAATACATACACAAGTACTTAACCCTTCCCTGTTTTCAATAAATTAATATCACAAGTCCATTGAGGAATATTAATGAAATTTTGTTCCAAAATATATTTTTTGTATCTAGGTTATTTCAAAATTATCTTTACATCTGTCTTCCATTCTAATTTGTTTGTAGCAATTTTGCAAATGCTTAGTCCATGACAAGTTTTATCACAGTCAAAGTGACTTTTTCCCCCCATCGCACTGGTACATTTCATGTGATTCATTTAATTTAATTCATGTATAGTTACCAATGCAATTCCCAGATATTTCTTTAACAACTACTATATGAAAACACTGTCATCTTCTTAGGTTGCCATTGTGTGAACAACACAATTTCAAAGGCTTCAAGAGGATAAGAAAGGAAGAAGTGTTACAGCTGGGTACAAAACATCAGTGGAATCTTATTTTAGCATTAAAACAAAATCACTGAGAGCAAGTTAAGAATGCTGCTTTCTCAGGTTGCCAAACTCTTTCAGTTCCTGATGTCTTCCAGGAAAGCTGCAGATGCTCACCACTTCTGAAAAGCAACCTCTGGGCTAATGGTAGGTGGTAAGATTAACTGGAAAACCAAAACATAAGTGTATAACAAACCAATACAAACTGGTGTGCTGACCTTAAATCACCCTTCTGCACCTAGAAATTTAATGTATTGCAAAACAATCCCAGATGCTGCATATTGCAAACTTTAATTGCTACTGAAGTTAATCCTTCTTTTCTCTGATTTAACCCCTCTGCCTCACACACAACTTGGGCCTCTTGCTACAAATGATTCAAATGGGCTCTCACCAATGCCAGCCAATATTATACCTTATATGGTCATAAAAACTACTCTGGAAAAACACAAGGTACTTTTTCCTCTGCAGAGACTCAATCCTGCTATCAGAGTACTGGTAGTCCTAGAGACAGAAAAGCAAACTAGAAATGAAATGGGATTCCCTGTAAAGCATCATTATTGGTCATGGGGACAATCAATACAAGCATAATTTTTCTAACAGTATCAATATGCTGCTTCCTATCTCATTCTCTAAAACACAAATGGCATAAACATAGCCATGCAGAAATCACAGAATCATAAAATTTTAGGGGTTGGAATGGACCTTACAGATCATCTAGTCACAACCCCCCCTGCCCTGGGCAGGGACATCTCCCACCAGAGCAGGTTGCTCAAGGCCCCATCCAGCCTGGCTTTGAACACCACCAGGATTGGGGCATCCACAGCCCCCCTGGGCAACCTGTGCCAGTGTCCCACCACCCTCACAGGAAAAAGCTTTTTTCTAATATCTAACCTAAACTTCCCCTCCTTCAATTTGAACCTGTTACCCCTTGTCCTATCACTGCAATTCCTGACAAAGAGTCCCTCTCCAGCTCCCCTGTAGCCCCTTCAGATATCAAAAAGTTGCTCTGAGGTCTCCATGTAGACTTCTCTTCTCCAGGCTGAATAGCTCCACCTTCCTCAGCCTGTCCTCATAGGGAAGGTGCTCCAGTCCTCTTAACAACTTCGTGGCCTCCTCTGGACTTGCTCCAACAGTTCCATGTCCTTCTAATGTTGAGGGCACCAGAACTGCACGCAATATTCCAGGTGGGGTCTCACAAGAGACCCCACATATAGCAAATAGCTGCTATAGGATTAATTTAGGATTTATCTATGTGAAACAGAACAGTACTCCACTGTTAAAGCACTGAACTTCCAGTGGGCCCAGAAGAAATCTAACGCTGAGGGATGATACAGAAATTACTCTTCTGTTATACATGTATATGGGCTTAGCACAGACTGTCCACAAAATGCTCTTTTTCATAACCATCCTCTAAGTGAACACAAGCCAATGGATTTAGTGGAAAAGCCTGAATACATGTATGAACAGGTATGTGGCTTTCAACATCTGTGTGTTGTCAAGAGCTTGTGTACAGCTTTGTGCACATGGCTCCCAGTCCTGGTATTTGGTTTGCTTCCAGACAGCCCAAAAATTATGAGAAACATTATCTTGGAAAGGAGACAAGAAGCTGTTTAGGTGGAGATAGGAAAACAAAATAGTCTGTTTCCAGCTCTGGAGATTTTGCCAAACATATAACATCAGCATTGATCCCCAGTATTTGGTTTCCTGCTTGGCTGCTGTCCTTGAGTAATCGTGGGGATTCTTGGTCTCTGTGCATTAATGTCTCTGTATATAGAAGTACTCTGACTTTATTGCCAAGGTTTGTGGCATTGTTAAATACATTAAAAATAGAGATGAACTAAGATACATTTTTACAAGTCTTCCCCCTCCAGCATCTGAAATCACATAATTTCACAATAATCTCATTTTGTCATTTAGAGAAAAAGCTTTTAAGGTCCCATGGCTGCAAATGCAGCAAAACCAGAAGACAAATAAAGCAAAGACGTCATCAGACACTCCAGAAAGTCCCAAAGCAATAAAACTTTGCTATTTTCAGAAGAGCAATTTAGCTTATGAATACCTCATCCTTGTTGTGGCCTATCAGCAATGCTTCAGAATGGTGGGTTCAGGGTTGGAAGCTCTTTCTTAGCTTCGGCTGAACTGTCTAAACTTGGCAAAATTAAAAGCCCATACGTTTATATACAGAGTTTAATACATATGTAGTTCTCACCTATACGGAACAGGCACAAAAAAAGCAAAATTTATTCTATAAATAGAAATTAATCACATTTTGCATCCTAGGCATTATTTAGATCTCTGATGTGAAATTTGATTTAACAGGAGTTGTCAGACCACTCCTAAGAGTCTGTCAGAATGAAAAAAAAAAAGAAAAAAAGGCATTCACACTAATATGCAAACATCAATCTACTTTTTAGAAACACAGAGCACTGCTGGTCAAGAAGGATGCAAACAGGAAATAAACCCCCTTTTTTCTGAATTAACTGAGAACAATTAAATGTGTATGATTCAGATTTGAAAAAGTAATTTTGAATATTTAACACATTTTGAAGTTGGCAATATCTAAAATACTTTGAGATAAACATGAAATATTTTATAGGATTCACAGTATTTACCTCAGCAATCTCTATCCTTCTTGCAAGTTCATCAAGAGAAGAAAAGCTGTCATCTAGTGATAAAGCTTCCAGTGAGTTGTAAGACCCTCGTTCAGGTGAAATATCTGGAACAGTGTCAAAGTCCTCTTGGTTTGCTAAGTTTGCAAATGATTCTTCAGTGTCTATTATGTTACCATTTAAAAATCTGAGAAATAAATCTTCTTGTTCTTCATTATTTACCTTCTCCTCCTGTCCTGCTGCTCTCTGTATTTCCTTGCATACTCGTGAATGGGCAGTAGTCTCATGCTCAGACACTTTATTACACTCAGAGCATATATTTGATGTAGTTCTGTCCCGTGAAGACTTTTCGTCATCGTCATCAGGCTGTATCTGTTGCTGCATTAAACCACTATTTCCAAGCTGGCCACTAGCAACTTTTGAAGAGCCAGCAGCATGTTTTGATCTGAGCAGATTTCTATCAGCTTGCACATCTTTATCAGAAGGAACCAAATCAGTAGACATATAATCAGCATCTGTTAAAACCAAAGCATCTACCATTGGCTCAAGAGGGAGTTTCACTCCAGGCTCCCCAGCCCCTTCTATTTTTTCTGCATCCTTGGAGAGCTGTCTTTCTCTCAGCTGCGAACTGTTATCTTTATCGGCATCCCCAGATGATAAACAGCCCGAAGAAGGCCTGCCCACTGTCCCTGTGGACTGGGTGGGTGGCTCCAATGTTGATTCAGCACTGCAGTGCTGCTCCTCCATGTGGTCCTTTCCTGCAGCTACCCAAAGACTTGCTGCCTCTATTTGTCTCTCAGTTGTGTTTTCACCTGGGGAAACAGTGCTCAGCTGTTTATCTTCTTTCTTTGGTCCAATGCCAGGACAAGTTTCAGTACCTAAGTGCAATAGGAAAAACAGTTCCATGGCTCCAATGTTGATTCAGCACTGCAGTGCTGCTCCTCCATGTGGTCCTTTCCTGCAGCTACCCAAAGACTTGCTGCCTCTATTTGTCTCTCAGTTGTGTTTTCACCTGGGGAAACAGTGCTCAGCTGTTTATCTTCTTTCTTTGGTCCAATGCCAGGACAAGTTTCAGTACCTAAGTGCAATAGGAAAAACAGTTCCATTTAAAT